TCATCCTTACTATACCAGGATGTCCCTCATGCAGAGAGAGCAAGATCCTAGACTTCAATGAGGCTGAGATGACTACCCTACTACCCCATAACAGGCACCCCTTGAAAGTGGAAAGTACATGCTTCCTTTGCCAGAAGCTTTGGAACTCTGTATCTGGACATGTGTCAGGCCATCCTGACAACACCCATGTCAGCATGTGTGTGAGCGTGTGATCAGTGGCAGTCTCTGCAGCCAAGTCCCTGGCATTGAGGGGAGATTCAGGCAACTCCTGAATGGAGAGAATGTTAATGGCAGGAGCAGGATCTGCCTCTATTTGTTTGAGAGGCAATCTGCTGAGGCCGTCTGCGTGGCCCATCTCCTTGCCCGGTTTGTGAATTAGACTATAATCATATGCTGACAGGAAAATTGACCACCTCAACATACGTGGGGAAATAATATGTGGTGTCTGTTTGTTAGTTGTAAACAAGCCCAGCAAAGGCTTGTGGTCTGTGTAGACTGTAAAATGGCGGCCATATAAGAAATCATGAAATTTCTTTATGCCAGCCACTATGGCCGAGGCTTCTCTGTCAATCTGAGCGTAATTCCGCTCTGCAGATTACAGAATCCTTGAATAATATGCTACAGGGACTTGTGTCCCATCAGCCTTCAGGTGGCTAAGAACTGCTCCCACCCCATAAGGAGATACATTGCATGCGATGCATACAGGCAGTTGCTTATTGAAATGCGCTAATACAGCATTTGAAGAGAGCAAGGCCTTAACCTCATTGAAACTCCTTTCATGGATTTTAGTCCACTGCCATGGAGCCTGTTTGTCTAAGAGCCGGTGTAACCACTCTGCCACTGCAGCCTTATGTGGGAGGAATGCTTGATAGAAATTTAATAGTCTCAAGAAAGATTGTAGCTCACTCTTGGACTTGGGGCTTGGCACCTGCTGAATCGCTTGAAGCTTGGATTCAGCAGGGTGGATGCCTTGGGCATCAATCCTGAATCCTAAGAATTCAGTGGAAGTGACTCCAATTTTACATTTGTCTTGCTTCAATTTAAGGCCTGCTTTGCGGAAACGCAACAAGACAGCCCTTAACCTTTCTGCTAAATTTTGAGAGGACTTCCCAGCAATGAGGACGTCATCAAAGTAGGGACAGACCCCAGGAATATCATGAAGTGTGCATTCCATGACACTTTGGAATATGCCAGGGGCTAAATTAAGCCCAAATTGCAGTCTTTTAACCTTAAAGGCCCCTCTGTGTGATACAATCATCTGGGCCTCTGCAGTTGCCTCATCAACAGGTAGCTGTTCATAGGCCTGCGCCAAATCAAGTTTCGCAAAAAGGTGCCCCCCTTTGAGGGAGGCCAAAATGTGTCTTACAACAGGTACTGGATATGCGTGCTGTTGCAACGCTTTATTCAATGTGCACTTATAGTCTGCGCATATGCGGACTTCTCCATTAGCCTTTAAAGGTGTTACTATGGGGGTTTCCCATGGACTAGAGTCCACAGGTTCTAAGATGCCCTGCTGGAGTAATTTGTCCAGCTCTGCATCTATCTTGCTTTTGAGGGAAAAAGGCACCCTTCTAGGTTTGACCCTGATGGGTGTGATAGTTGGGTCTAAACATAATGCAATGGTGGGGCCCTTGTAGGATCCTAGCTCTGAATTAAACACATCAGCAAACTCCTTGCAGACTTCTGCAAGGCCCAATGTTTGCAAGTTGCGAAGCCCAGTCACTTGGATTCTAAGAGCCTCAAACCAATCGAGTCCAATAAGACTTGTGCGTTCATCCCCAACTACCACCACATCCAGGAAACTTTCAAAATCCTTATGCTGCACTTTGAGCATGGCCTCCCCCTTCACACTGACTTTGGAGTTCTGAAAGTCAGTGAGTATTAAATTTGATGGCCTGAGTTTAACTCGAAGGCCACTACTGCTGCAAATCCTTTTGAAGATGTCTAGTGAAATGATTGATAGAGCGGACCCTATGTCCAACTCCATCAATAAGGGAACCCCTTGCAACTTCACGTCAATGCAAAGTTTTTTCTGAAGGGGCTTGTGTGTCCCTGTCCCCAGAATACTCCTGCGCGATGTGCAGAAACCCACCCTGTGTTGGCTGGGGACCCTGGTACCTTTCTGAAGCAATTCTTCCCGAGGTTGGACCTTCTGGCAACCCAAACAGATGGAGGCAATGTGGCCTTGCCTGCCACATGCCCGGCAAATGGCGGAGCGGAATCTGCAATCAGCTCGCTTGTGGCGTCCTCTGCACCCGAAGCACTGAAGAGCTGCTGCGGCCTTGTCTGGACGCCCCTTCAGCCTTCTTTCTGCTGGCTGGTGAAGTCTGTCCACCTCCTCTTCAGGATCCGCTTCTGAATCTTCCCGGGTGTCCTCTCGATGGACCGTCAGGGTGGCTGGAGGGTTCCTGGCGAGCCGCAAAGCCTTCACAGTGCTGCCTGCTGCTTCCTCAGCTGCAACCTCTCTTAAAGCATCTTGAAACAATACTTCTTTTTTTGCAAAAATCTTCTGTTGCAATTCTCTGCTACATAGGCAGCACACGAAACAATCTCGCAACCTCTCTTCTAGGTCCTTGAACTCACAAGGCCTGGCCGCTTGTCTTAAGGCAGCGATGAAGTCCGCAGCAGATTTGCCCGGCCTCTGGTCTCTCTGTTCGAATGCATGCCTCCAAGCAATGACAGACAATTTAGGCTGGAAATGTTCCTTCAACATCTTCTTCAAGTCAGCATACGATACTGACTCTAGAAGTGCAGGGGCCACCAGATTTTCCGCGATGTCAAACGCTTCCTGCCCACAGGCACACAGAAGAGTTGCCGCCTTCAGGCCATCTTCCCTGATCTGATTTACTCTAAAGTAGTTATCCACCCTTGCTACGTATGAATTCCATCTCTCAGGGTGGGAGACATCAAAGTCAGTCAAGTGGCCAATCTTCGACTTTGTAAATTTTTATGGCCTTCGCTAATTGCCTCCTCTGCAAGCTAGTATTTTTTTGGGAAAGGGTCCTTTTGCCGAGCTCACCTCCAGCGATGCTGTACTGGCAGGCCAAGTCACGAGTGCAGGATGCCGTCTTCCGTCTTCAGAACCTTCTAGGTAAGTTCTTATTTGTTCCTTTTGCTTGCAGGTATCCCACCTTCGTCGCCACTTTTGTGTATTCAGTTAGTTGGCAATTGACAAAGACACATGGTGAAGCAACAAGTTCTTTATTAACCTTCTCCTACAACCAAGCAAGCTGCAAAAGGCACACAGGCCTTTTATAGGGCCTGAGACCCAGACAGTGTTAACCAATAGGAACTGACCGTTTTCACGCCTTGCGCATGTGCCCAAGGCTGGCGCCACTCTGTCTGGTCCCAGGCAGCTTTTGGTTTGCCCGGGACCATTTGCAACAATTCTGAGCCTGCTTTTCTGCTCTAGCAAGCTCAGGACACAACACATACCACTTAAATCAATTTTAAAAAAGTGCATCTACTCTTAAATACTCAGAAAATATCAGCAAGGTTCTGCAAAATACTTATTTGTTGCTTTGGTTTTTAAGTTTCTTTTTCACCTTGATGACCAGCTATAATACTGAGTAATATGCAATCGTTTATGAAGCAAGAAATCTCGCTATGCTTACAATATCTGAGTTACAGATCCCTGATACTGATTTAAAGAAATGCATTTCTGTGTGAGTGGCTTCAGCCATGTAAAATGACATATAAATGATGAAAAAATGGTAAATATCTTAAAAGATAAATGAGAAGTTACACATAAAATGTTTAAACAAAGTGGAAATAAGATGAAAACTACAAACCAAGGAAGGTTTAAAATTGTCCAAACATTAAATAGTTATTCTTAGAATAAGTGAGCTTAAGTAGTTCAAAAAACCCTTTAAGTCAGGTTATGTGTCATGACCTGAGTCACTCAAAGGAATAGAGTGGTAATGATAATCAAAAAGTATATCATTATTAAGTAAGTAATGGCTATAATACAATAAATGACAAGATAGTATATAAAAGTCAGTGGCTATGAGTGAACAATATAAGCTCTTCTGCCTTATAGAAGACTGGAAGACCCTCAAGGTCCCTTACAGAGCTATAATTCTATGATATAAAACTCTAGAGAAAATATAGATCAGGAATACCAATAGATAGAACAAAATAGCAAGAAAAAGGAAATGGGAGATGTTTTTTAAAAAGATCAATCACAGGAAAAAATTATAAGAGGTAATTTTAAGAGTCATATAGAGGTAAGTAGGAAGTTCAAAAGAATATCCTGGAACTTCTTGCAAGTATACTAATGAAATTGAAACATATTTTAGGAAGAAATATCACTCAGTATTGGTTTAGTGACATAGTTTTATCATTTCAACATTTCAGTTTAGCTGGAAGTTTTTCATATAGCTTGAGGTTTTTCATATAGCAAACTCAGGGTTGGAGGCATAGCCTGGATTTCACTTTAGAAACAGATGTAAATATAATGTACTTATGTAACTTCTATTATAAATCAGAAACAGAAACTGATGTAAATATAAATGAAAATCCAGAGTTGATAGAATTGTGGTGGGCGAATATAGAAATTGAGGGAAAATAAATTTATCAAGCTTCTGATTGTGAAACATTACTTCTGATTTTCTTAGCTTAGAATAAGAATTTTAAAAAAGAAATAAAACTGATCTAATAAACCACTTACAATTTTCCTGTGGCAGAGGAACATAAATAAATAAAATTTGTTTATTGCATTATGCACATAACATACACAATTTTCCTCTAGAGTCCTCTTCTCCTTAAGCTGAAATATTGAAACTCCAGATGAAAGGATGGAGAGACTGACAGACAGACAGGAGATGCAAGAGAATTCCACTTCAAAACATCAACAGAAATATTTTTGAATTAGTCCAGGTATGAATTCATGCCAGTGTGTCCTTTCCCTTCTTAGGCAAGCAGCACCAGCCAATGAGGGCACTTCTCTTTGATAGTTCTGAAAGCTCTCTGTCATAGCAACTACAGAAACAATCTACATCAGTCAAGAGAAGAAAAACAGAGGGATCATATACTGATTTCTCCATGGCATCCTCCGAGCAGAAAAAAGAGCCACTCACCCATGCTGCCTTACGTGAGAAATTACTGAAAGAAGAAGAGGTAGGACTTGTGTTGAGACTAATAATAGAAAGAGCATACTGTATTGCTATTTACTAACTATATTAAGAGAGGCAACATACAGTAACAAAAAGAGGAGTCCTATTCTTCTAAGCTATACATTCCAGTGAATATAGTTTGAATATATTATCTAAAGCTATAAATATTTTCTAGTTAGCTTTGCATTCAATTGCTCTGGTTTAACTATGTTAAAGTCTAATTTAATCCAGCATTTCATTATTTCTCTTTTTCCCCCCATCCCTGCATCTTCTTCTCTCTTTTTTTCTCCTGTCTTTGCCTGCTTGGGAAGGCTGTTAGAAATTCAACTATATCAAGCTTGGATATTAAACATGTCTAAAGATTCCTGGAAAAAGTAGAAGAGCTATGTTTAATTAAAAGACTTAAACTTTATTCACATATAATAAAGTTCCAGTACATTTTTAAAAACGGATCCCTCCAAGTAAAATTCAGGTTCTTCTGAGAAATATAATTTATTTATTTATTTTAAAATCTTGTAATTCCTATAAATACTTTGCCTGAAGGAACTTTCAAAACAATCCCACATTATGTTTAAATGACTTTTACAGAGGTAGTTATTAATTTGTGCTGACTATTTTTAAATCTACTTTTCAATGCATGCAACTTCAAGAGGAGTTAATTAGTCATACAATCATGTAAATTTGATCACATCCTCACATTCAGTTGGAAATGTAACAAAGGGGAGAAGGATAATATCATTTAGGGAATAACCAAATTTGATCAACATTCTGTATTCAGGAGTCTGGCCCATCTTTATAGCTAGACTAAACAGCTTGCTAAATTTTCCCCCCCATATATACTATTAGGAAGAAGTTGTGTCAGCCTATCTTAGTTCATAAACATAATCTGTATAATAACTTTTTTCATGTACAGAATGATGAACATAATATTATAAATTCAAATTATGATGAAAAAGAGCACTTCAAACGTGTTCACACAACATAGGAAGAAAAAACAATGTTTCTCAGAAGCACTATGAGTGTTATGGAGAACACTTTCATATCCCCATTTTCAAAAATATTGAAAAAAATATTCTTCTTTCAACTAATCTCAAAATGGTAGGAATATTTTATTTTTAAATTTACATTTCATATTTCTAAATGACCCATCTCACTCAGAAAGGGGCTCTTCTTGCATTCTTCCACTTCATATCAAGTGTGCACAAAAGTTAGCAAGTAATTTTTTAAAAAATTGGCCCAATTGCTCTGTGGGAATTTCAAACCCACCCTATACAGCTATAAGAATGAATGAAAACCTAGTAGAGATGTTTGAAAACTCAAAACAGCTTAAAAATATATTTTAAGTTGAAAAGACTTGTTTCTGCCATTAGAAATATTTTAAAGTCAAAATGGGGTTACTTTGATACAATGGTTAGAATAAACAATTTTGAATTAAGGGCCGTTATTGCTCATTTGAAACATTTTGAACTGAAAAAATGGCATAACTTTGATAACATAGTGCTGTATCTTATCTATTATTGTATCTGGAAGGAGAAAAGTAAAGAGCCAGAAGGCATGGGAAGAGTCCCATCAATGGAAAGAGTCTATCTTCCAAGCTTTAAAATCTTTATAGCAAAATCATCTTCACTATAAGTCCTCTTGCACCATAGCTAAATAGAAAGTAAAGTGACTCAGTTGCTCAACTGAGATAATAAATGTCACATTATAGTAAAGCAAAAAAAAAGTTCACTTATAAAACTATAGATTTTGTTAAGTGAAAAAGAGCTTCTATCACAATCATTAGGACCAAGATACTAGGTTACTGTGTTGCTTTACACTACCTTTTGTTCCATTTCAGATGCTGGCAAAATTTAAAGAGTTTTCCAAATTTCTTCAAAGGTAAATGGATTTTCAATTTCTGTTTTTTAACTGTAATTAAAAGTCCCTGTTCAATCTTGAACCCTAAGGCAGAAAGCATCTAGTTATGTGAAACTTTTTGACATTTACCTGAAAATGCAGATAAGACAGAAGCTACAAATAGAGGACAAATGACAGATTCTTCTAATCCCATGGCTTCATTTAAGTCCTCTCTTGGGCTGAATTCAGATACACCAGGACTTGCTGGTCATATAAAGGCTAGTTATTTGTTATGAATAGCAATATTTTGGGGGCTATAGCATATTATGTATTGATTAAATCTGGCAATGAATAAACCACACAGTCCTAATTAAAGTCTGCTATTCTATTTTAAATCAGCTGAAGTATATACAGTATATACAGTATATTTTCAAATACAGTGCAAGACAATAATACAGCCATGATGTTATTACAGCTTGGGTAACTTGATATAGGATTGATGACACATTTGAATACTTGATACTTTTGGATGCTTTAATTGACATCTGCTACAGAAGAGGTTTTCCCTATTCATAAAATGATTTCAGATACCATCTTCTCATTTAATTAAACAAATTAAAAGAAACATTAAAAAGCCAGATAAGACAGGGAACTTGGTTGACATCAAAGAAGCATCCTTGAGTGCCTTGATGTCTATCAATTTTAAAAAATTCAGAGAACCTAGGAAGGATTCCATGGATAAAAATCCTAAAGGGGAAAACAACTCAAGAAGCATGGGAAACTCTAAAAAATGTGATCATAAAAGCCCAGTCCAGCACAATACCACTGAAAAAGAAAAACAAGAAATTCAAGAAGAAACCAGCATGGCTGCACAAAGATCTCTCTGACAAACTGAAAGACAAAAAGGACAAATTAAAAAAATGGAAAAAGGTACACATAACTAAGGCTGATTATCAGCAGACAGCCAGAACATGCAAAGATGAAGTCAGGAAAGCAAAAGCTCAGAACAAACAAAAACTTACAACAGAAATCAAGGATAATAAAAAAAGTTGCTTCCAACATATTAATAACAAGAAAAAAGTCAAGGAAACTGTAGGTCCACTAAAGAGAGAAGATGGCAAGGAAATATCAGGCAACAGAGAGAAAGCAGAGCTGCTTAACTCATTTTTTGCATTAGTCTTTACACAAAAAGAAATTACAGCCCAACATACCCAAAAATCACTGCAAAAGACAAACTAGAAACAAAAATTAAAATAAGCAAGAAATCTTGACGAATATAAATCACCAGGACCCAACATATTACATCCCAAAGTTCTGAAAGCTCTGGCAGATGTTATTTCAGAACCATTGCATCATATCTTTCATAAATCCTGGAGCACGGGGGAAGTACCTGAGGATTGGAAAAGGGCTGATGTGGTTCTCATCTTCAAGAAAGGGGAAAAAAACAGACCCAGGAAACTACAGACCAATCAGTTTAACATCAATACCTGGGAAGATCCTAGAAAAGGTTATCAAAAAACAGATCTGCGAACAACTAGAAGCAAACAAAGTTATAACTAGCAGCCAGCACGGGTTTGTTAAAAACAGATCATGCAAAACCAATCTTATTTCATTCTTTGATAAAGTGACTAAACTAGTAGACCAGCGGAATGCTGTGGACATACTATACTTAGATTTCAGTAAGGCATTTGATAAAGTAGACTACTCCTTGGTAAGCTAGAAAAAGGTGGAATAGACAACATCACCACCAGATGGATCTGGAGCTGGCTGGCAAACCGTATTCAACGAGTAGTCCTCAATGGCATTACATCCACATGGAGAGAAGTAAGCAGTCAGGTAGCACAAGGTTCTGTCTTAGGCCCAGTAATCTTCAATATCTTCATAAATGACTTAGATGAGGGAATAGAAGGGGAACTCATCAAATTTGCAAATGACACTAAACTGACAGGGATAGCCAACATCCCGGAAGACAAACTCAGGATCTAAAAAGATCTTGACAAACTTCAACAGTGGTCCCTAGCCAACAAAATGAGTTTCAATGTGGAGAAAAGCAAAGTTTTACATTTAGGCAAGAAAAATCAAAGGTACTAGTACAGATTAGGTGAGACCTGGCTCAAAAACAGTAACTGTGAGAGGGATCATGGAATCCTAGTGGACAATCACTTTTCTATGAGCCAGCAATGTGCAGTAGCAGCCAAAAAAACCAATGCAATCCTGGGTTGTATAAACAGAGGCATAGAATCAAGATCATGCAAAGTATTAGTACCACTTTATAAAATCCTAGTAAGACCACACCTGGAATATTGCAACTAATTTTGGTCACCATATTACAAAAAAGATGTTGAGAGTTTGGAAAAAAAATCAGAGAAGAGCAATTAAAATGATTAAAGGCCTGGAGACTAAAACATATGAAGAACGGCTGCAGAACTTGAGTATGGCTAGTCTAAAGAAAAGAAGAAATAGGGGAGACATGATAGCAATATTCCAGTATTTGAGGGGCTGCCACAAAGAAGAGGGGGCCACATTATTTTCCAAAGCACCCAAGGGCAGGACAAGAAACAATGGTTGGAAACTGATCAAAGAGAGAAGCAACCCGGAATTAACGAGAAATTTCCTGACAGTGAGGACAATTAACCAGCGGAACAGCTTGCCTTCAGAAATCTTTGGTGCTCCATCACTGGAGATTTTTAAGAAGAGGCTAGACAATCTCTTGTCTGAGATGGTATAGGTTCTCCTGCTTGAGCAGGGGGCTGGATTAGAAGACCTTTAGGCATTAGGCAAGAAAAACGAAATGCACAGGTACAGCATAGGTGGCACCTTGCTCAATAGTAGTAACTGTGAGAGGGACCTCGGAATCCTAGTGGACAATCACCTAATTATGAGCCAGCAGTGTGCTGCAGCTGCCAAAAAGGCCAATACAGTGCTAGGCTGCATTAACAGAGGGATAGAATCAAGATCACGTGAAGTGTTAATACCACTTTACAATGCCTTGGTAAGGCCACACTTGGAATACTGCATCCAGTTTTGGTCACCGCGATGTAAAAAAGATGTTGAGACTTTAGAAAGAGTACAGAGANCTCCAGAAGCAGTGAATGCTCCAACACTGGAAGTTTTTAAGAAGAGACTGGACAGCCATTTGTCTGAAATGGTATAGGGTTTCCTGCCTGAGCAGGGGGTTGGACTAGATGACCTTCAAGGTCCCTTCCAACTTTACTATTATTATTATTATTATTATTATTATTATTATTATTATTATTATTATTATTATTATTATTACTACTACTACTACTACTACTACTACTACTACCTCCAAGGCCCCTTCCAGCTCTATTCTATTCTATTCTATTCTATTCTATTCTATTCTATTCTATTGATCTTAAACTGCTTCATTTAAAAGCTATATGTAGTGGCCAGGAATAATTTACACATACATCCTAATTGTGAATTGACAGAAGGAATAAACTTACCTTCTAAACCAAAGTAAGCATCGTTTATTTATTAATAAAGTTTTATAGTCTCAAATCTCACAAAAAGCAACTTTGGGTAGCCTATAAACAATTAAACACAAAGTGCTTCCTAAACATACTTTCCTTTTGAGACAGTTTATAGTGTCTCATATTTACTGATTATGTACTGTATTCACTGCCATATACAGGTAATCCTCAGCTTACAACCACAATTGAGTCCAAAATTTATGTTGCTAAGTGAGACATTTGTTAAATGAGTTTTGCCCTTTTCCTGCAACAGTTGTTAAATGAATCACTGCAATTGTTAAGTTAGTGACATTATTGATAAGCAAATCTGGCTTCCCCACTGACTTTGCTTGTCAGAAGATCACAAAAGGTAATCACACGATCCCAAAACACTTCAACCGTCATAAACATGAACCAGTTGTCAAGCGTCTGAATTTTGATCATGTTGATTATGAGGATGCTGTAATGGTTGTAAGTGTGAAAAACAGTTGTGTCACTTTTTTCAATGCAATTGTAACTTTGAACAATCACTAAATGAACTGCTATAAATCAAGGACTACCTGTGTAAATTATGGTAAAATATAGATGTAAGCTTAACATGGGAAAACAATTAGTACAAGGAATGTTAAGGAACCATATCAAGTCCATCTTTCTTACTATGTTTTTAATTTTAGCAAATTTTAAGTTCTGTTTGGATTTTTAAACAAATATTAGCTGCCTTGGGAACTAATTTGAATAGAAAAGCACATAATATATATAACATACAGCAGAATATTTATGTAGCAGTCCTAGTTTCAAGAATAATTTTGAATGTACTGCTTGTTTAGCCTAGTTCATGCAAACCTTTCTTTTTTTCAAAAAATAACCCTTCAATACTTCTTGGTTGGCTATGGGGAGATTGCATAGATTGGGCACAGGCATGCAGGCATTTATTCATTGTGGGGAAAAGGCTATATGGATGAGCCTTCTAAGACTCAATGCATATCATACCCATAAGTTCTTTTTCTCTCTTTTAAAACTGACATATGACATTAATTTGTTTTTACATTTAACCTGACCTTAAAAAAAATCTGCTGCATGTTTTGTTTTGGAATATAGGAAGAATGTAGCAAGCAAGACCAAGTATTCTGGGAGAAGGGTCCTTTATCCATAGCTGCTATATATACAGTTGCTAATTACACTTATAGAAATGTGGCATAAATATATGCTTTTGGGGGAGGGAGGGTTGTAGCATCTTGACAGAAAGCATCAAGAATACATTGAAAGAGCAAAAGATTAAAATCCAGATCCTCTCCTATCAGGTATGATTTTGATTGCACCTCATCCCAGGCAAAAGTCGCTACCTTAAGCAATTTTTGACTGGTGGTACTTAAATATCTTATGCCCTCCAAAGCACATTTTTCTGTTACGTATGAAACACTGCACAACCTAAGTTATTGTTAAGTTTTATTAAAAATATACTTGTTTTAACTTAATACTTTTTTAAAAGTAACTTGGTCAGGTGGAATTGCAATGGACATTTGTAAATAGACAAATGGCTCATATATGGACATTTCCTCTTTGAATATGAATTGCACAGCTCTGATTATAATGTAACTTCTTAAAGAAACATAATTTTAGAAGTTCTGCTTGATAAATTATTGTATCAAAATTCATTACACTATTGATATTCCACGCTATGTCCAAATCACACTTATTTACCTAGCTGGGAACGTGGCCGAGCCATGTGTCTTCAGCTGAAATCACAGGAAGACAGGTGTTTTGCAAGAAGCAGGAAGAGGCACCAAGCAGAAATGAAAGAAGAAATGCACTATGCTAATAAACAGCTGATGATGGTAAGCAGAAATGAAAAAAAAATGCTAATAAACAGCTGATGATAGCAAGGTTTGAAAACTTTTACAAAATATTAATTTATTTAGTTCTGAAAATCCTCCTAGTCTGTAGCAGCATAGCTTAGATGCCCTTTGCCAGAAGAGAGAGAGTGAGAGAGAGAGAGAGGGAAAAAAACCTATTTTCTGAAGGCATAAATTGATGATGTTAGCTTTTAAACACTTCCGTCCTGTTGCAAATGTAGCCTCCAGACATGTTTTCCTGCTATGGTTGGAAAGAATTTTTCTTTTCTCATGTTGCCTCATGTGTTCTTTTAGGTTTAGGCCTGAAACACTTTTCTTTCTTATAGGCTAACTTCAACAGTTCATTCACTATTATTCATAGGAAAGAATACCTCAAATGGGTAAAAGTTGTCTCAATATCTAAAAGCTTCTAAGTTCACATGTTTTTTTTTATTGAAGTAGCACAGTGACTTAGCTTTGTCTGGTATTTAATAAGATGGTGGTTTAAAAATATTATCTAGGTAACTCTTTTGTCTCAAATTACTGGAGAAATGATGAAGTAGCAAAATCCTATAATTAAAAAAACAAATAAAAAACTAAAGTCTTTTTGTTAGCTAGGAAAAACTAATTAGCTAAAGAAAAAAAATTCTTCACCATATTACCACACACACACACACACACACTTCTGCTGGAGTTTGGGCTAGTGACTTCTTACATATTGAGTAAAGCGCTTAGGCACTGATGATAAAAGGAGGGCCTTATATTAATTATGATGGGCACATGACATGGATTTTGTAACGTGTTAACTAACATAGTTGCTTTGTATTTTAATTTGACGTATTTCTTGTATTTTGAAATTATGTTCAGGCTCATTACAGACTGGAATGTAGAAAAAACTTTTATTCTATTGCTGTACATTCCTAAACTGAAAAGATAAGCTACAGAAGGATGGCTGGAGACTACCTCCTGATCAGAAAACGTTTCTTAGTGTCAACTGGCATCTGGTTTCTAACTTCAAATGAAATTTGTAATTGATTTACTGTGCAAAAGAGAGTTATGTCAACATTGCAACGAACTGTACTGAAGCCATTTTCACTTCGTTTTCGGTTGCCACATATTTAGAAAGAAGGAGGGAGGGGTGTAGTTCTGAATTAGTCAAAACAATTTCATGTATGGCAGGGATGTCAAACTCAATTTCACTGAGGGCCGCATCAGCATTGCGGTTGCCCTCGGGGGACCTACTGGGTGGGTGTGGACAGAGTGGGTGTGGCCTATTAGGTGGGCATGGCCAGCTCTACATCGTTCATGTCAAGGGTGCCTGTGGGGGCATGGGCAGGAGTGGAACAGATCTGAGGGTCTCTGACAGAAGGGGGTAGGACCGGGGCAAGTGCCAAGGCATGGTCCACTGGAGGAGCCTCACTGCCTGCTGAAACCCTTCCGCCGGAGCCCATCAAGCTAGATATGTGAAGTAGGCAAGGGCCATTTGCTGGCCACTTCCAGGCGATGGTGCATTTCTTCATTCCTCACAAAGGGTGACACTTCCCCAGCATGCACCCAGGGACGGGGCCGACATGGCAGGGGCTGGTTCCTTGCTGTTTCCAGACAGCCTTGTGTAGCTAAGACTGAATGTGTTTCAGCATAGATGGCCACCACAAAATTGTATATTGGCTCCTGGCCGGCCTGGGCCAGGGCCAAGGCAGTGGGGGACCGTTCCCTCACTGTTTTTAGGATGGCTTCGCGGGCCACATGAAACCACTTCGCGGGCCGCATCTGCCTCCCGGGCTTTGTATTTGACATGTCTGATGTATGGAAACCAAGGTCATTACTGATAGCATTTTGGTGGGCTGGACAGCTGGGAGGAGTGCCCACATTTTCTATTAATTGGTGAATGTGATTTATGACATCTAATTGGGGTGGGAATTGCAACTTGTAACTTTGTAACCAAGGGGAGGGGAATTTAGTCTTGGGTTCACCTTTGTATGTGCCATTATTTTGTAGCCAAATAAAAATGTTCTTTGAGGAAGAATTCCTTGCCTTGAAGTTCTTTTAATTGGTCTCATCTACCAGAACCATGACAGGTTATTTTTATCTTGTCCAATTATTCCTCTTGCATTTTCTTTGTTGTGTTAGCTATAAAAAGGAATGTAAGATGGGTCTTAGGGATCTCCCTTTTCATTGGGAGATCCCACTTTATCAGGGTATCCTAATAAACTGCTTTTAAATGATCCTCTGACTTGTTGCTTATTGGGAAGATAAACTGAGGCAGAACCTAGGGCCAGAGTTTAGCTATCAATTGGCAAAAAAGAACTGGCTGATGAAATGAAAAAGGATTTCTCATTTAAAATGATTGTTTTCTACACTTCCATTTTGAAGATAGAGACAGACAAACAGACGTATAGAAAGATAGATACAGAGAGACAGAGATGATAGAGATAGAGACAGAGATATAAAATTCCCTTCTCACCCTTATGGGTGGTCTGTTCTTTCTCAATTTTGGGTCCTATGCGGGTCCTATACCAGAGGCCTGGGAGTTTGAGCGTTCTGTACAGGATCTTAAAACTGTTTCTAGGACTGTGTTCTTCTGATGTTGTTCCTGGGATCTGTTGGAATCACCCTCCTACCTTAAGTGTCACAGCCATGAGTTCTCCTACCACTACTGGGTAGGTCTTAACTTTCCATATCTTTTCCAGTTCAGGCCCTGACACTTCTCCAGTTTTTTATACTTCTTCTTCCTGATGTTGCTGTCACTTGACATTGCTACATTTATTACCACCACTGTCTTCTAGACTTTGTCTACTACCACAATGTCCAGTTGATTAGCCAGTACCTGCCTCTCTGGAAATCCCACAGGATCTTAGCCCTAGCTCTCCAGTCTAGACATAGGAAGGTCTAGCCCATATTTTATGCACAATGCCAGTACTTGGTTGTATAGTTTAGTGTATGCTGTTCCTGCCAGCATCTTACACCCTGACACTATGTGTTGGACTCTCTCTGAAATCTCTCTTCATAGTCTGCACCTTGGGTCCTGTCTAGTTCACCGCCCTGAGTCCCATAAGGGAGATAGGGCGGTATATAAATTTAATAAATAAATAAATAAATAAAAATAAATAGTGTGGTAGACTTCTTCTATGGATTTGGTGTTTAGTGCCTGTTCTTGTGCTGCTAGGATTTAGTGCCTCAGTGCTGTTGTTCACTCCAGCCCTTTCCACCCACAGGTAAGATTTCCTAATGTCTGCCACTTCCGTTATCTGTCAATAGAATATCCCATGCAGGGCCTTATTGTGTCATGGCACTTCCTCTGCTTAATCTTTCTCCTATAGATATTGCTGCCTCAGAAATTCTATCAACAGCTCATCATTGGCTATGATCTTACTGAAGTATTCCTGGATGCTCTGGGTTTCATCCACAACAGTAGCATTGACACTTAGCATAGCCCAATTGCTCTCTTTTTGTCTAGTGTAAAGTCTCTGGGTATTGGACTTGAGGTGAAAACCTCTATATCTTGTGAGCTAGCATATACCCTTGACCAAAGATTGGTATACTCCTATCTGGGATGGTCATTCTTTTCCACTGAGCACACAGCTTCAGGAGGGATGCACATAAGGGAGAAAGAGGAACCCACTTGGCCAGCCAGATTAACCAAATCAACCCTAACAATCAATGGGGTGACAGATGTCACAGCCAGATCACCCCCAATTCCATACATTGTGAGGAGTTTCCAGCTCTTCTCATTGGCAGCTTCCATGTCCTTCTTTGGGCAGCTCATTATACTGGCAGAGTATCTGATGATTGGTAGAGCATACATATTAAAGGCATGGATCTTGTTATTCCCATTGAGATGGCTCTTCAGGACCTTCTAATCCTTTGGTGGTACTTAGATGTTGCTGTATTCCTTGCCTCCTCCTCATGATTCACATGTGACTGTGGGTAACAAGGTATTTGAATCTGGCCCATTTATCTGTTATGTGACCCACTAGTAATTCCACCCATCAGTCTTATTTTCCCTCTCTTGATTACCAACTGGCTATATGTGTCTATTCCAAATAACATCACCAAACTGATATATCATTCATTCTTTCCATACAACTTGATGTCTTCCACATGGAGGAAGTGGCTGATGGTAGTTCCACTTTAGAAATTGCATTCATATTTAGTTTTTGTGATTATCTGGCTGAGGGGACTCAAGCCTATGTAGAACAGTAGCAGAGACAGTGCATCACCTTGGTATTGGCATTACTTATGTGAGCTGTGTTGAGTTGACTTCTAAGTTTGTCTTCCACAGTCCCATTGAGTTCTTGAGGAAGGTTCTTAATGTCATGTTGTCTGTGGCATTAAGTTGTAGGCTTTCCTGTTGACAGTCTAGATTGTGCTCAGACTAGTCTATCTAGACCAGGGGTATCAAACTCGCCGCATCATGGGACGTGTCATGATGTATCATGACTTTTTTCCCCTTGCCAGAGCTGGGGTGGGCACGGCTTCTGTGTGATGCATCTGGCCTGCAGGCCGGCAGTTTGATACCCCTGACTGTTCTGTCTATAAGCAAGTGCTGTTTTTAGCCTCTAGTGTTGTTCCCAGTGCCTTTCTGAGCTGGGCTCACGTACAGTGGTGACTGTAATACCTGACTAAGACTTTCTATGTTTTGGGAGGTAGATTATTGGCTGGTAGTTGGCAGTGGTGTACCCTTCTGCGGGTCTTTCAAGATCAGCACTGTCTTCCCTTGGGTTAGCCAGTATACATACACATACATTGAACAAATACAAATTTTGTTCATAAATTATCTATCTATCTATCTATCTATCTATCTATCTATCTATCTATCTATCTATCTATCTATCTATCTATCTATCTATCTATCTATCTATCTATCTATCTATCTATCTATTTTATTTGCTTCCTCAATTATCAAGCTACTTTAGGTGGTTTACAAACTATGATTAAAACAATAATAAAAATTATAGAAATAATATAATTATTGAATACCTAGGAATATTATGCTGTACTCC